GTTCGGTGTATTTGATAATTAAAACATTGCGTCCCCGTGCACCAATCCTTTGTCCCCTGCGGTTGCCTTCTCGGCCTCCTTTCAGAGAAAGTGATATATCTGTCGGAGAACCAACGACTGAGCTATCGAAAATTTGAGGCCTAGATGAGTACTCTGGATTAAGACATCCCAAAAAAATCAACACCATCAATTGCTTCCATTACTCTTGCATGTTCTTCACTATCATATAAAATATACTAGAGTTAGTATTAATCTTTAGTCAATGATTTTTTCTGAAGTCTATCAATTAATTAGCAACAAAATTCATATTCTTTTTAGTTTCATTTTAGCCTATTTTTAATTAATCATTTTGATTTTTCAGCTTTAATTATTCATCTTTTTTTTATAGCGCTACTTTTTTTAAAGTGTTTTTCACTTTTATAACATTATGCTTTCAAGCTTGGTTTCATGTCGGTCCAAATCACGTGAAAATTCAAATTGGCTTTAGGTTATATATGTTTCCTGTCAATTTAATTATCAATATAAAAATTTAAATTTGGTGTAGCCCATTCAAACAAACATCAAATAAAATAAATAATCACAATGCTAAAATTTAAAGGCATAAGTTAGCAAAAACGATCAAAGTGGAACTGAGGAACAAATTTTAGTAAGAAAATAAATTAAAAATATTTAATCATGATATTTAACTATTTAAGCACGTGCATTGCACGTGCATAAAACCTAGTTGTAGTAAATGTGCTTATATTACATTTTAAGGCATTATATTATATATGCTTACTATCCGATATGACACTCCGATGTTACTATTTATCCCCGATATATCTCCGATAACTAGGGTTCAATATGAATTTTAGATGTTCGGTGTATTTGATAATTAAAACATTGCGTCCCCGTGCACCAATCCTTTGTCCCCTGCGGTTGCCTTCTCGGCCTCCTTTCAGAGAAAGTGATATATCTGTCGGAGAACCAACGACTGAGCTATCGAAAATTTGAGGCCTAGATGAGTACTCTGGATTAAGACATCCCAAAAAAATCAACACCATCAATTGCTTCCATTACTCTTGCATGTTCTTCACGTCAAATGTGATTGAGAATATCTGACGGAGCTCTTTGGACAAACGATGAAAATGGCCATAATAATCTTATAAAGGTTGAATGCCTATTTCTACCGAAACAGCTACTGTATGACATTTTAATGTTGCTACTTCCGCTATAGAACTCAAGAAGATTCACAGCTCCTTCATAGTCTCACAATGTAGTAGAAAGTGCTAAATCTTGCCCTCCATTGTGTTCAAAATCTGGTGTAGTAGGGTTATGTCCTGTGTCTATGCATCTGTCACCGATGTAGGAGGGTCCTCCTATAAGTGTTTCATCTTTCCTCGATTGGACAAATAAATCTTAATCTGTCGCTTTAATCCGTCGCTTTCACTGTAGGTAGTTGTTGCCATCTAACATCTGGTCTGTGATCTTGGTCTGTGATCTTCTCGGTGATTATCTTAGGAAACTTCATCTCGACCTGTCTCACTAGAGGCGGCCATCATGCAACAATGAATCAAACAAGAGACCATCCTCAATGAAAAGACAACACCCTACTAAATCAAAGTGCATACGAAATTCATATCAACAACCGGAGAATCAGACCAAGATCTGATTTGATCTGTTTCTTTTTTTAGGCTGATCTGGTTAGGGTTTAGGATGGCGGCTGACATGATTTGTTAGGGCATGAGGGAGTGGAGATGTTGTTAAGTCATGGATGAGGGTTCGATCATGGGTGGCAGTTGCGAGGATCGTGATTGAGAGCAGGGTTAGGATCTGGTGGTAGTGGTTGAAGATGAAAAGCGTGTTGGTTGTTGAGGTCGAGATCAAAAGGAGTGTGTGGTAGTTAGGAGGGCATGGTAGCAGTGATCTAGAGGGCGGTGCAGTCGCTAGAGGGTGGCGTGGTGGTGATTTGGAGGGCGGCACGGTAATCTGAAGGGCGGGATGGTGGAGTTAGGGCTTGGGTTAGGGAGTAGATAAAGACGGAGGAGGGTGATGGAGATGAAGGAATAGGATTAGGGTTAGAGTTTTAGATGAAGGACTAAGATCTTTGGAGTGAGGATCTTTTTAGTGGCTCTGGTGAAGGACTAAGATCTTTTGAGTGGGGATCCTTTGGAGTGGGGATCCTTTTAGTGGCTCTGATACCATGAAGAATTAGTAACCAGTGAAAGAGGAGATGATTTGGTCTCATCTCTATTTGTTTATTTATAATAGGAGAGTTGATACAATTTTAACCCACAAGTAATGTGGGAATAAACCAATAAGAATAATCTCTCACAACATATTTGAAGTATGACTATTGTGGGTAGCAATTAGTTTTGATGGGGTAGGAAACTCTTGCGTAATCTAACTATTTAACCTTTGTCATTCATAAGTGTTTCTGTTGGTTATCTAGGGGCTTAAATAAAAGGAAACTTATTACATTCATGTCTTGTTCGGTATTGGGGAATCTAGTGAAGTGAGAATATAATGACACAAGAAATGGAGTGGAATTAGTGCAGGAATAAAATGCTCATTTCCATTCACGTTTGAGTGCAATTAGAGAATGAAGTGGGAATGAATATATTTGGAAGTGATGTATATTTTTAATTTCTGTTTAAGTGGGAATGAGAATGCCTGTTACCTAACATCTCATGGAAATGGTCATTCCCACGTAAAGTGGGAATTAGTGAGATGTGGGAATGAGAATTCTAGTTTCTTAAAACTTGTTTTTTTTGTATGAAGGAGTGAGAAGTGGGAATTAGCATTCCATTCTCACTAATTTTTTGTCTACTAAACAAGGTGTCAAGGTTTTAAATATCATATATCGGAGAAATATCGGATGATGAAAATTCAGATCAGATTGTGGATATCGGGGATATTTGGTAAATATCAGAGTGCTATATCTGATGATGTGCATATATAATATAATATCCTAATATGTAATCTAAACATACTTAATGAAATCTGACCATACAAAAATATAAATAATATATATTTAGGATCACTAATCAACCTTTCAAGTCATAAAAGCCCAAATTGGCGTTGCAACATTTCGAGTTAATTTTTCTAGGCCGAAATGCCACTTGACATTTTGGGAAAATCATGATATGCTACCAAAAAATTTACCAAAAGCGTATCTTGTTTTATGACAAGCCATATAAAAGGACACATCGACCAAAATATCAGCGGACAGCGGATGTATCGCCCAAAAATTGCCAAAAGTGGTAAATGATGTTTAGATCATTTTTTTTTGTGTTATAAAAGGATGTATTGACTAATATATTGGGCCATGTTGGGTATATTAAAACAATGATTATGTTAAACATAGATTTGGCAGAACTGGTCAACAATTAGCTCCCAAAAACATGGTCTATTCTGACCAAACAGGATATTAGTGCATAAGGAAACTAGTTACTAGTAAAACTAGGTCACTAAAACCAATATAAAAAAGGGAACTACTGACAGACCAAGTGAAAAAGCTAGATATGTCTTCTTAAATTCCCATTGAGCTGTACCTTGATGTAACTGACCCACTTGAGATTCAACTTCTCCTTGAATTGTTCTATTTGAGAATATCCACAACATCTACATCATCAAACCACTTGCGTTGGTTTTGTAAATTATTTTGTACATTTAACTTCTTGAGGTTTATCTTCCTATTGCAAATTAACAACTACAGTCTTATCCTTTTTAACCGCTGCAATTCGTGTTTGTTGATATATCTTTCCACTTCCCTGTGCTCCATCGACATAATTCTTTCTATTCTGCTTAGTTTTCACACTTAGGTTGTGTTTTGAAAGAAGAGCTTAAGGAGAAGGTGTTATCAATTTGTGGTTGGGAGTAAGATGGGGTTGTGATCTATCCATTATAACAAATAACTCTACCAAAAAGTTCCAAAAGGGCGGAGTTATAAACCCTCCTTCTCCATCCAAAAGTACGGTGCATAAAATTTTGTTTTTAAGCGGCAAGGAACTCCTTGGAGTTACAGTTTTGAGTTACAGGTGTGTGGCAAGTTGTTAGGGGAGTTTGGCTTTGAAATCACCATAACAGCCAGACCCAACCTTGATAGTTTTAGTTGCACACAACCAAACCATCTTAAGTGGGCTTTTCCTCATGTTATCCTCCTCAAAGTACCTCCGTCAATGATACCAGTTGGCCCTTTTAACATTGTCACCTTAGCAATGAGGATACTTCACTATTCTCAATTGGATAGGATCCAGCTTTGAACTTTTGTGTGATTTGTGGTTATGCAACTCTATAGAAGGGACTGTGCCAATTCTGGCTGATTTATTTAACAATTGGGATTAACAACACAGGTCATTCTTAAACGTGTCATAATCAGAGACCTCATTGTCATGAAACCCAAGGATGATGTCCTCTAAGACCTATTGTCTTGGGGGTAAAAGCCCAGTAAGTTACTCTGATTTATTGATAGAAGTAATTATCGAACAAAAGCACTTCGGAAAACTGTCTTTTATACTTAATATACACAGATACACCGTTTGTAGAGGGCTTCTGCGTGATGTGAACAGAGGTCTTTCTTAACTGTTTCATGCTCAAAGGTCTCAATAATTTTTGTCATGAAACCCAAGGGTGATGTCCCTCTAAGATCTATTATTCTTGGGAAAAAAACTAGTTAATTACTCTAATCTACCAATAGAAGCAAACTATTGAACAAAAGTCTTCGGAATACTACCTTTCATACTTAATGTACAGTAACACACCTTGTACGGAGGCCTTCTGCATTATTCACAAACCAGTACTTTTAGGTTCTTGATTGAGGTTTTCCAAGATATACTAAAGTCAACCTTTGTTGTTTTATATGTAAAATAATTGTTCATTGCCATTATTCAATTTTGTTTTCCCATGTTCAATTTATTGACACTTCTCTTTAAATGTACTTGTCTTCTCTTGGACATTTAACCTGTGGGCTTAATATCAGAAGCTTATCATCTATATACCTATATTAAAATAATTTCCAGGAATACACCCATGGATTATGATGAGAATGACTTTCAAAGCCAGAATTTCCAGCTAGTAGGCGACGAGAACAAATTTCCTCCAAGCTTAAGATCATTTGCCCTACCGAAATTTGATTTTGACGAACATCTTCAGGTCCATCTCAGGTTTGATAGTATAGCTGACACAGACGTGTTACTTGGCATACAAGGTCAAGACAACAATTGGATTGAGGACTTTTCATCTGGAACCAGCGCATTAGAATTCAGTTCAAGTGCTGCTGATAATTGCTCAATTACTAGGCATAACAATGTCTGGTCTGAGGCTACTTCATCTGAATCTGTTGAAATGTTACTGAGATCTGTTGGAGAAGATGAGATGAATGACAAAAAAGTTACACCCATGGAGGCGGATGCTCAAAACGTAATGAGTGGCAGGGATTCTGCTTCAAGAAAAGTTGATGATGAGAAGATGACGAGGGACATCATACTAGATGATCCTTCAGTGCCACCTGGTAATTTTCAGATAAACTTATTAGGGCATGGTGATGCAAATGCGGCTCAGTCTGAGGTTCAAGGTGTGTGTCAACTTTTCAGCAATGAAATATCCGGTGTAGCACTGGATGCAAGTTCTGTAGGCAAGCAGTTTCACTCTGATAAAAACGTTGGCTCTGAGCAGTGCAAAATAGGTGACAATGTATCTTTGCCATCAGATTTGCACCCAGATGATGCTCAGAATAGGAGAAACCAGATGTTAAGAGATGCCAAAGGGAATGAGCAGTTGCTGCAGAGCCATGAAGTTGAAACTCATTTTTGTAGTAGAGAGAATACATCCTTCCTGGAGCCAACTAAGAATCCTTTTGTGTTGATGAATGAAAATGTGACTGGATTTTCTGAAAAGCCTGATGGGTTGCTAGAAGCTATTACTTACCAAGCACAGGCTTTGAGCAATGAAAATAAGGCAGGTGCTAGAAGTTCGATGCAGGTGCATGAGATTCATTCACTAGAAACTGAAAGAGAGAGAATTATGGATTCAGATTATGTTGATATCAGCAAGGAAGATGTTCCAAAGAAGCTAACCGATTATAATGACAAAGTGATAGGAAATACCGTGGAAACAGCAGTGGAGGGAAATGTTTTAGCTGTAATGGATTCTGAAATGCAAAGGATTGAACAAAAAGACGAAAGTAGCAGAAAATTTAATAATCTACGTTCCCAGACTTCGGATCCAGGTTTTCTGGAGAAGAGTGTTGAACCTAAAATTATGGGAGATGTTGAGGAATCCGGTTCTAAATTGATTGCATCAGAAAATGTTATGTTAGATCAATCTCCTTTGTCAGCTGTACTTAATAATGATGAGGCTGAGATCTCATCTTCTGTTCCTAAAAAAGTACATAGGGCAGATGAGTCATCTGATGTTCGATCATATTCTCCTGAGCCATCAAATAGTCCTGGTACAAATAATCCAAACAATGGTGATACGAGGAAACTGGAAACTGCCATATCTTCTGCATTAAGTTCTGATGGTGTGGGAGTTGCGAGTGTCTCTAAAGACAAAAGTTTAATACATGAGGGGTCAGGTGAGTCCTAAAATTTTTATGATCATTGACACTTTTATGTTTGTTCCAAATTCAGTCCATGAGAATAATAAACCTGGTGTCTCTGGATTTACAGCGGCCTCTGATCTTGGCTTGATGGGTGTTGGACAATCTTTCCTTGATGGCGGTGAGTCCCAAGAACAGAAACAAATGTCTCCTCCGAAGTTACATCAACAAGTTTCCATCTATTCAGACGTGAAAGAAGCGGAAATAACTGGAACCTCATCTGCTTCTCTTTTGAAAAATAAGTCAGATGCCCCACTAGGGGTTGAGCCAGTTATACCATCTGATTCAGTTGTCTCCCATAGCTCACCACCTAAAGGAATAGCCCAGGATGTGCCAGTACTGCCCGGTAACTGTTATGTTTACTTGTTTATGGAACTGTTTCTTTCATCATTGTCAAAGTAGAGTCTGATATATGTGCTAAGTAGAAATGGGTTATCTTGTCTACAGGTGGCAAACTTACTGTCCTTGACAAAAGAGTTGACTTTCACCAGTCACAACATACCTCTACTACAGATGTTCCAGAACGGAAAGAGGGACCAGCACCGAGTCAAATTTCATCAGAGTTCATAAGATCTGATGAAAAGAAAGCTAAAATTTCTGCAAGCTCTAGTATAACAAAATCAGAGGCTAAAGTTTCTGTAAGCTCTAGTTTAGCAAAATCAGAGGGCAACATCAATGATAGGCCATTTGTGCATTCGGATATTGGGGAAAGTAGTCCTCTAAGTAATAGGACAAAACCAAAAACTACTCTGGTGGAGCACACTTCGTCTTGTGTGGAAGACTCTGTTGTAGCCAATAGTGAGCTTCCGTCTTTAGCAGATAAACCAATCACACATGAGGAAGCTACAGCAGTTGGAGGGAACCTTGTTACTCAACATTCTTCTTTAAAAGGAAAGGATAACCCTGATAAATCAGAAGCCTCATCTCATGAAAACAAGGAGATGATGTTTGGAGTTTCTGGTAATTTAGTTAATGTTGAGATTGGTCTTGTTTCTTTACTTGAGTAATTTCTAGTTCTAGTTTCTGTGGCATGTTTGGGGATATAACATTCTTCCTAGCTTTGTATTGTCAAGGTGCATTACATTTAATTGGCATCATATCTGCATTTTCATTGCACATGAATAGCAGTTAACTTTCTTAACCTGGAATCTTCTTTGTCTACTTCAGCAGAGTTGAACCATGGTGAGGGACAGCCGCTGCGAGAAACTCTTCTGTCTGGTAATTATCGAAACCGAACGATGCAGTTAATTTGACCTCTTGACATGTTATTGATGGGTAGAACATTACCAATAACTTGTGAGAAATAGATGTTCTTCCTGTTACTATTGTGAATAATTACAAATGTATTTCTATTGCTTTTCCTAGAGTATATTAACAACAGTTGTTCCCCCCCTGGCGCAATTTTGTACCGAAAAAGCAAAGCTGGTGCATGTGGAGAGTATAAAATTATGCTTTTCGTACCATTTTTTCTGTGTTTTTTAAAGTTATAAACCAGGAGTTGCTATTTAATTTTAGTACCATGTGCAGAAAGTTATGTGACATTGTGCTCTATTGCGACGCGTGGAAATAGGATCTTGATCTTCTTGAAAGAAGTTGTATTTTGTCAGTTATTTCATCATAGGATTTCTTTTGTCAATCTCCACATGTTTTTATTAAGGAAGCCAATATTGGTTTCTACCGGGATGTTCCTAAATATCTATTCGTACACAGTTGAAATTGAAAACATGGTTTGCTAATGTTTGTGTGTGTTGATCTTGAAGAATAAAGAAGGAATTGAATAATTCATTTCTCTATTTCATCGTTTACATGAAGGGCTATATATAGAAGTATGTCAGCCCACTAAGTTAGGAACTAACAACTAATTCAGTAACAAACTAAACAAACAGTAACAAATTAAACAAACTACAAATATCTACAAATATCTAATCTGTTCCTTGATTTTCTTCTAACAAACGTAATCTTCTTTTCAACACTCCCCCTCAAGCTGGTTGGAAGATGTCTTCCATGGCCAGCTTGCTCGTCAGCTTGTCGAACAGCTTTTTTGGTAGTCCTTTTGTTAGAATGTCTGCAACCTGCTCATCTGTTGGAACATAGATCATACATATCTGTCCTCCTTCGATTTTTTCCTTGATGAAATGCTTATCCACTTCGACATGCTTTGTCCGATCATGAAGAACTGGATTGTGAGCTATTGAGATCGCTGCCTTGTTATCACAGTAGGTTTTTATCGGAGTTTGACTTTCTATCTTTAGTTCATCGAGAATCCTTTTTATCCATAGCACCTCACATATTCCATGAGCAACCGATCTGAACTCAGCTTCCGCACTACTTCTTGCCACCACACTCTGCTTCTTGCTGCGCCATGTAACCAGATTTCCTCCAACAAATGTGCAATATCCCGATGTCGAACGTCTATCAGTCAAGCTCCCGGCCCAATCAGCATCCGTATATACTTCAATCTGCAGATGATTTCGTTTCTCAAACATTAGTCCTCTTCCCGGTGTTCCTTTTAGGTACTTTAGTATTCGGTAAGCAGTCTCAAAGTGTTCAGGTCCTGGTGAGTGCATAAACTGACTTACTACACTCACTGCGAAGGCTATGTCGGGACGTGTATGTGATAGGTAAATTAACCTTCCTACCAGCCGTTGAAATTGTTCTCTGTTTTTCACTTCTTCAGGTTTCGCTGGCTGAAGCTTCACATTATGTTCGATTGGTGTTTCAGCAGCCTTACAACCGAGTAGTCCTGTTTCTGACAGCAAGTCCATCACATATTTCCGCTGAGATACAAAAATTCCCTTCTTAGATCGAGCAAACTCCATTCCGAGGAAGAACTTTAGAGGTCCTAAGTCCTTGATCTCAAATTCTTTAGCAAGAGACCTTTTGAATCTTTCCTGCTCAACATGATCATCACCAGTTAGTATAATATCATCTACGTAAACAATTAAGATTGATATCTTTCCTTCCTTTGAGTGCTTGTAGAACAATGTATGATCTGATTGACTTTGAGTGTACCCGTAACCTTTGACAGTTTTTCCAAATCGTTCAAACCATGCTCGTGGCGATTGTTTTAGACCGTAAAGCGACTTCCGAAGCCTACAGACTTTCTTGCACCCTAGTTGTTCTTCAAATCCCGGGGGTAGACTCATAAACACCTCCTCTTCTAGGTCTCCGTTTAGAAATGCATTTTTCACATCTAATTGGTGTAGAGGCCAATCAAAGTTTGCAGCTAGGGATAATAGAATACGAATGGAATTGATTTTTGCAACCGGTGCGAAGGTCTCTTGGTAGTCAATCCCTTGAGTTTGTGTGTATCCTTTGGCCACTAAGCGTGCTTTATACCTTTCAACACTCCCATCAGCTCTACACTTCACAGTAAATACCCACTTGCAGCCTACGGTTTTTTTCTCCCTTGGTAAATCTACTAAATCCCAAGTCCCATTCTTCCTTAGAGCATTCATCTCTTCTATAACTGCTGATTTCCAATCTGGATTGGTTAGTGCTTCTTGGATAGTGGTTGGAATGAATAGGTTGGAGATCTTTGTGGTATACGCTTTGTGATTTTTTGACAATCTATGGTATGACACGTACTTAGCAATAGGATGATTGGTACAGCTACGGACACCTTTCCTAAGAGCTATGGGTACTTCAAGATCTGGTATAGATGGAGTAATTTCTGGTGGTAAAGATGGATTTAGCTCGGGAGAGAAAAAGTTAGACTTACTTGAGTCATGGAGTGATCCATCCGACGGAGATGAGGGTCGGCCTAGTGTTGAAGATGTTGGAAGACCACTATTTCTTTGAGTCCCTCTTCTGGTGTACACAAGAAGCTCAGGCTGAGTGTTTTTCTCCTGTATTTCTCCCCCTGAACAAGTATTTTTTAAGCTCGGCTGAAGTGAGTCATCGACTAGGTTTTTTGTGTTTTTTGAACTTGGTTGAATTGGAGGATTCTGGTCATTTTCAAGAGACAGAGAAGGTATAGGCAATGGAGGTATAGGTAATGGATCAATTTCCCAAAACTGGGTTTCACTCTCAATCTCCCCCTGAAGGCAGTTTTGGCGGAAGTAAGCTTGATTCTCTACAAATGAGACATCCATGCTCACGAAGAATTTTTTGGACCGAGGGTTATAGCATTTATATCCTCTTTTATTTGGAGCATATCCTAAAAAAATACATTTTTCAGCTCTAGGATCGAGTTTGGATCGAAGTCTGCTAGGTAGATGAACATATACAATGCAACCAAATATTCGCAGAGGAAGGTCCGAAGCTAGTCTATAGTTTGGGAATATTTTTCTTAGACTCTCAAACGGTGTGGTGTATTTTAATACACGAGTTGGCATTCTATTAATCAGATACGAGGCTGTCAAGATTGCGTCTCCCCACAAATATTTTGGTACATGCATGGAAAACATGATGGCTCTAGCAACTTCAAGGAGATGGCGATTTTTTCTTTCTGCTATGCCATTTTGCTGAGGGGTATCACTACATGTGGAATGATGTTGAATTCCTTTTTCTTGAAGAAAGGTTCCTAACATTTCGTTAAAATATTCTGTTCCATTGTCAGAATGGAGAATTTGTATTTGTGTTTGGAATTGGTTTTCAATCATGTAAAAGAAATTCTTGAATATTTTTTCCACTTCAGATTTTTCGCTCATCAGATACACCCAACACAACCTAGTATGATCATCTATGAAAGTTACAAACCACTTTTTTCCGGATAAAGTTGACACCCTTGATGGTCCCCAAACGTCACTATGAACAAGATGAAAAGGTTTTGATGCACAATATGATTTAACTTTATATGTAGTATGATGACTTTTTGATAAATGACAACTTTCACATTCAAATGAAGAACAATCGATGTTTTTAAACAATGATGGAAACAAATACTTCAAATAGGGAAAACTCGGGTGTCCTAATCTAAGATGCCAGAGCATTATTTTTTCATGAACAGAAAGAGAACTCATACTGGAACTGAGTCCTTGAGCTTGTTTATTGCCGAATTGGTCATCATCAAAGAAATAGAGACCATCCACCATCTTAGCACTGCCAATCATCGTCCCCGTAGTCTGGTCCTGAAATTCACAATGAGAATCAAAGAATATGACACGACAGTTAGAATCTCTAGAAAGTTGGCTTACTGATAGGAGATTGCATGAAAAATTTGGAACATGAAGAACAGATTTAAGAGTGATAGTATTTGAGATTTTTATATCTCCTGTTCCTGCTATAGAGGAGAATCTCCCATCGGCTACTCGGACTTTTCTATTGCTGTAACATGGTGAATAAGAGTGGAAAACTTTTGACAGATTTGTCATATGGTCAGAAGCACCTGAATCAATGATCCATGGTGTAGAATTGGAATAGAATTGGAATGACACGAGAGAGCACAAGGGTTCCTACCTGTTTGAGCCAAGGAACTACTAGGAATACCAGATTCGGAATTGGATTTCAGCAGCTTTAGAAGGAGATTCATCTGTTCTTTGTTGAAAGGACTGGTGTTGGAGTTTGCTTCATTTGCGGCTGCTGTTGGACGCTGAAACTTCTCTCCAGGCTTGCCACTCTTCCAATTTGCTGGTTTTCCATGGATCTTCCAACACGTCTCGCGAGTATGTCGGGGTTTGTTGCAGAAATCGCACCAAATTCTCGGTTTTTCATCTCCACGTCGCTGAGAATTTTGATTTCTGCTCACATTGGCCTCGGCAGTAAGTAGGGCAGAATTTTCCATCGGTGCTACTGCTTCCTTCTTTCCCATCATAACATTGCGACGACTCTCTTCTCGCCTTACTTCAGCAAATACTTCCTCGAGTGAAGGAAATGACCCACGCCCAATAATTCTACCTCGCACTTCGTCGAGTTCTACCTTCAAACCTACAAGGAATTTAAAGATCCGATCATTCTCCACCATCTTTCGATGGTGCTTGTAGTCGTCTGGCGATTTCCACTCATAGTTGTTGAACATGTCGAGATCCTGCCAAAGTCTCTTGAGCATGTGAAAATACTTGGTGACAGTGTCGTCTTTCTGTCGGATCTCTCCAAGTTGGAGCTGCAGCTCATACACTTGCGATTGATTACCTAGATCAGAGTACATCTGATGAATGCTGTCCCAAAGCTCCCACGCAGTCGGGTAGTTCATGTAATTAGAGGCGATGTCTTCATTCATGGAGTTGACGAGCCACGCCATCACCATTGAATTTTCTGCATCCCAGGTCGCATAAGTCGCCTCTTCAATTGCGGGAGCCTTCTTGTCCCCAGTCATGTAGCCGATCTTGCCTCTTCCTCAAATCGCCATTCGTATGGACATCAACCACCGTAAGAAATTATCGCCATTAAGGCAAATACTGGTGATCTGGAAGGAATGAGATTCATGACCAGGGAGTCGGTTTTCTTGTGAGGGAGGATTTGTGGTTTCTGAAGATATATCTGACATGGTTATAGGTGAGGATAAGGAGGGGTTGCTGGAATAAGTCCAGAAAAAAAAAAAAGAATTCTAATGAGCGGAACAATATTCCTGCTCTGATACCATCTTGAAGAATAAAGAAGGAATTGAATAATTCATTTCTCTATTTCATCGTTTACATGAAGGGCTATATATCTTGAAGAATAAAGAAGGAATTGAATAATTCATTTCTCTATTTCATCGTTTACATGAAGGGCTATATATAGAAGTATGTCAGCCCACTAAGTTAGGAACTAACAACTAATTCAGTAACAAACTAAACAAACAGTAACAAATTAAACAAACTACAAATATCTACAAATATCTAATCTGTTCCTTGATTTTCTTCTAACAAACGTAATCTTCTTTTCAACAGTTGACTACATGAATAAGTTGGTTTTCTTTGTGCAATTTGTGCTTTATATTTACTCATTTTGATTGTATAAAATATGATAATTGAGCAATATGAAGTATGGTGGTTTACTAAAGGAAAAGGGCTGAAGTTGTCTGATACTTTTCAAAATACTTGTTGGATACTTGTCCAAGACAACTTTTGACATATTGCAAAAGTTATTATTCGTCCAAGTCTAAGACACTAATTTGATAGGTGACGGGTAATTACAATTCAATTTGACATGGATGAGTTTTTATACTATTTGCCTTCTTTCTAAATAAATGAATAAGGATTGGTCAGGGGAAAAGCGTTAGAATTTGTCACGAGGATTCTTATAATTCTCATGTTAATGATTGATCAACTTGTTGGACCTACTTGATTGATTAATTTGTTATTGTTCTTCTGTGAAATATGAATTGTTGATGTATTAGCACAGCTTTAAAGGATAAAGGTGAGGTTAAAGGCTACGCAGTCCTGTACTGGGCAAGGTGCAAGGTACCAAGAGAAGTCTATTGCCTGGGCAAAGTGGGTGATAATGTTTCAAAATATTTATAACTGGCCTGCAATTTGAAGCAGTACTTATATGACAATTCCCTTTGACAACTGGTAAATGAGGGTGTGGTATTCATAATTCCTTCTTCTCTGACATGGTCTGATGTAAATCACATGAATAGTACAGGGAGTGTACAAAACTGCACATCTAAAACATAGAGCATTTAAGTACACACAATCGTAGAAGTAGATGGAGCATAGTATGAAAAAAGTAATGATCTGATTCATATTTATGAATATGAAGTTTCTATATGCTTTCAAAACTATTTTTTTTACATTTATCTGAATACATATTTTACTTATTCTTTTTAATTTTTTGGGGGCTATGATGTTTTAAGTTTCATGGTTATTATGGTCTGGGATGTAAGATTAGTGTGACCTGGGTTTGTTTGATTGTTGTCATGAATCTTGATTTTATATCCTAGGTGTTTGGAGGATTTTGCATATTTTTGCTTTGCACGTCTATGTCTGTGAAGACTAGTTTGTCATTTATATTTAGGTGCTACAAATATTTAATATTATAACTTGAATTAGTATTTATTTTTCAGTTCTTAAAAAAAATGCTACAATATGTCCATGTTCTATGATAGTATTATGCCATACCATATCTTGGCCAGCTGAAGTGGGTTTCTTGTTTGTAGCTACTCCTGTAAATTCTGGGTTGGATGCATCTACTCTGATGCCCGGAACCAATGCAGAAGCCCAGATGGCAGCTGAAACTGGCAAACCAAGTTTACCAGAGTCAAGCTGTGGTTCACCCACGGTTATCGGCTGCAGTGGACACTCTCAAGAAGAACCAGAGGGTAGGAGAGCCCTAACAATGTAAGTAGATCCTTTTACAAATGATATATTCTTTGACTTCTTCTGTAACGGGGAAATACTAATAAAGTTAAGTACAGTAGTCATGATTCAAAGGAGAGTACAGCATCTGATGATGACAGAAGCTTCACATTTAAGGTTGGAAGAGTAGAAGAGCCGTCTGAAAAAGAGGCAGGCAGTCAATGGAAACCTTTCCCCAGTCCTGTACAGTCTTCTGAACCATCTCAGGTAATTAGTTATTTCCAGGACTTCCTTTAATAATTGTATGGTCTTTCAGTTCATTTGCATTTCTTTAAATACTAGGGAAGTCACTAAATATATCTTTCTACCTGTCTGATTCAAGATTTCAAAAGAAACTAGGGGATGCCATTCAGAATCGGTAGAGGGGAAACATCAGAGCATGATGACAAAAGCAGCTTCTGGGGATAGAACAAATCATGCAAAAGGACCGTCCAGTGAAAAAGTAACCACACGAAAGGGCAGGGTGGCCAAAGGGACAGTAACACGTAGGAAGTCTACAGATAGTGTTGAAAAATTATCTTCTACTTATTCAACATGTGGTGGGACTGTAAGTAGTGGCATTCAGTTGGAAGAAATACAACCGTGTATGTATGCTGAGAGTAATCACGTGAAAACATCTGGTTCGCCAATTGTCCAGTCATCTAGCCTGCCTGATTTGAACTCTTCCACTTCTGTCATAACATTGTTTCACCAACCTTTCACTGATTCACAACAAGTACAATTGCGTGCACAAATATTTGTTTATGGATCCCTAATGTGAGTTGAGTAATGGTTGTTATCTTTTCCTTGCCTGCAAGATTTGTCACATCATACTTATTTTAATTTGTTATTGCAGTCAAGCTATCCCACCAGACGAGGCTTGCATGCAATCAGCCTTTGGAGACACTGGTTTGTCCCTGCACACATAAATTATTACTATTATTTTTTAATCATTCATCTAGGCATGTTGGTCCATGGTAGATTTTATTGTCATTGAATTGTGAACAGCAGATGGTGGAAGGAGTGCATGGGAGAGTGTGTGGCGCAAGTCAGTTGACAGACAACAGAATCAGAAGTCACCTTTTAACTCTGGGACTCCTCTGCATTCTCATTCGGGTAAGCAGCTTCAAATGTTGTTTCAATATATGTTCAAGATATTCAATTTAAAAAAAAAGATATTCAATTAAAAACCATCTTCTTTATTAAATAACTTATGTTTGCAGCTGTGCAAAAGACTGAACAAGCAACAAAATGCAGCTCGCTCCAAGGTAAAGGTGTGAGCACTACTAGTAGAAGTGTTAGCAAAGCTATAGCCCCAGGAGTTCTAAATTCCACACCACCTTTGCCATCACCCCTGTGGAGCGTCTCAAATCATGATGCATCACCCTCTAATTTGCCAAGATGTGCCCAACTCGACTTCAATCAGCCTCTGTCTCCATTGGATTCTTATCCATCTTCACAAAAGAGGAAGTTAAGTAGCAGTATGCCACGACTGCCTCACAATGATCATCCGGGGCCGTGGGCTGTCTCTGCCCAAAGTCCAACCCTTAATGCTGCTATCCAATATTCAACAGTACCAGTTGTTGAAACTGTTCAAGCAACACCAGTGAAAGATATGTCCATGCCACATGGTGCTAGCGTCCAACTTGTGCCCCCAAGTCCGTTGATGCCTGCTCCAAGTACTGCAAGTGCTTCTCCAGGGGCACTAGTACATCTAGAAACACACAAGAAGACCGTGAGCGCTGGTAATAGTAAGAATGCATCTAGTGTCCAGAAATCTAGAAAGAAGAAGAAGGCAGCAGCTACTGAGGATTTTACACAAAACATTCCATTTTCTCAATCTTATACAGAACCTGCTTCTTTCAGTTCAGATCCAAAAACTCTACCTTCTACACCACCAGGCCTGCCATTATCTTCTGCAAAACCTGCTTCTGATGCTTTTGTTCCTAAAACTTTATCATCTGTTCCAGGCTTGCCATCTTACACACCCTCAAAGTTTGCTTCTCAGCACATCATTTCGGCTAACACCAATATCTCTCCTACTCAGTATCAGGTATTAGGGAGTGACAATACTGATCAGAGGGTTATCTTTTCAGCAGAGACATGCAATAAATTCGAGCAGGCTAAGCTGCAGGCTGAAGATGCTGCTGCAGTTGCCGCTTCAGTGGTCAGTCACAGCCAATCCATATGGAACCAATTATCTATTCAGAGTAACTCAGGGCTGGTTAAAGAAGTCGAAGAGAAACTTGCTTCTGCAGCAGTTGCAGCTGCTGCAGCTGTATCTGTTGCAAAGGCAGCTGCAATGGCTGCTAAGGTTGCGTCTGATGCTGCTCTACAGGCAAAGATGCTAGCAGATGAAGCTCTAGATTCAGCTAATACAGAGGGCCTTGCACAAAATTCGGAAGTTGTCTTTGATGGTGGGAAGAGTTTGGCAAGGCTAACTCCTGGATCAATTCTGAAGGGAAAGGACAAAACATATGGTTCTAGTTCAATTATTTCTGCTGCCCGTGAGGCTACTAGACGCAGGGTCGAAGCAGCTTCTGCTGCCACGAAACGAGCAGAGAATTTAGATGCTATCATGAAGGCTGCAGAACTGGCTGCAGAAGCTGTATCCCAGGTAGGGACAATCATAGCAATGGGGGATCCATTGCCTTTTAAATTAAGTGAATTGGTAGAAGCTGGTCCTGAGGGTTGCTTGAAAGCTCACCGACTCACCTCTACAAAGCTTAAGAAAGCAAGCAAACTGTCTGGGGAGGAGCACAAGGACTTGGATCACAGGGATAACGATTCTGACCAGACACCTTGTAACAATAGAGAATTGCAGAGAGCTTCCGTGGAAGCTGGGATATTTCATGATGAGCAGTCCATTCATTCTGGAGAAGATCGGCAAGGTACAATAGCTGTTAGCTCCATGATTATCGTTTTGCTATAAGGGTTCCATTGTAGTATGTAAGAATTCTTGTTTGATTGAAAGTTATGGGGCTTTACAGGCTTGGAAACTGGAGGAGTTCCATCAAACATTCCAAATGATAGCCATGAAAGATGTCATTCACTGAGCAAACGGAAAGAAAATGCTATACAGAAGGGTTCAGTTGTTGAGGTATGTTTTGTATTTGAACCTTTTGCAAGGGGGTTAATCCTATCCATTGTGTATCTAAGCGGTGGAATGTAGTTAATCAAATCCATCACTATTGTATGGGTAGTTGCACCTTGTCTTGTAATGACATTAACATTGCTCTTTTAGTGCACTCATTCCAGAATTAATCACTTCTGTCACATATGAATGTAGGAATCTGATTAAGATGTGAACTCTCTGCTGCTTTGCTTGCAGTGGAGAGGATCCAAATCAGTGTAATTAAAATGTTGATGACATTTCTTTTGTCATTTGGAATAATTAACTTCAGTGTTATTTTTCTCTATTTTCTGTTGTCTTCTTATCAATGTACCTTCCTTCTTGTATTCGAATAATTTACTGCCTTCTTATTGTCAATGTATTCTTTCTTTGTAAGGGAATAATTTGATATCACCTTTTTGTTAGTGTATCCTTTTTCTTTGTATTGGAGATTTTTTTAATCTTGGTGTATATTTCTCTCAATATGTTGATAATTTATGCTAATTTATGTTTGTCAATTTCTCCTTGATAATTTATGCTATGGGATCCCGCACTTAATTTTGAATGCTTCTCCTCTGTTTATAATGATGATGATGGTGATGTTCATTTGAATTAGGTTATCACTGTTCTCAATTTTCCATGTCTCCTTGTATTAAATTATTCTGCAATTTGATTTTTTTTTTTATGTTTAGTGAAAGACGTGGCTATTTTTTTTATATTTTACAATCATTTTAGGCTCAATAGAGGTTTGTCTAATTCTTTGACTAAATTATTAAGGTTATGCCTGACGAGGAAGGTCTTAAAGGAGGATGGTTTTCTGCGCGTGTTCTTGATGTGAAAGATAACAAAGCTCATGTTTGCTACAACAATCTTCTTTCTGATGATGGTAAGGAGAAGTTTCTAATTTCTAACATTTAGGCTAATGAAGAGTGTAGTGACATCTTCATTGAAATTTATCTAATCATTGTTCCCTTTTCTGTATATTAGTTAAAGAAAAGTCTTTATCCACATTATTTTGTGATCGATTGGAGTTAATATTTACGGCTTTAAAATTTTTCTATTCAAGGGTCTGATCAGCTTAAGGAATGGCTATCACTCAGCAGTGAGAGCAGTGGAGTTCCTAAAATTCGAATCGCCCACCCGATGATCGCAACAAAATATGACAGAACAAAGAAGCGTCGGAGGGAGGCTGTAGGTAATTATGTGTGGGCTGTTGGTGATCGAGTGGATGCACATATGCGCGATGGGTTAGTATTTCTATTTTCTAATATTTTCTTTAGGTAATTGGATTATTTGGATTGTTATTATCTCTCGAAATTAATTCTTTCATAGCTGCATCATCACAACATTACTTATAATTCATAAGCATGTATCCAGTTCAAGTATATTTATTTACGTTACTTGGATTGTCATTTACGCTGATCTAAAATACATAAGTAGTATACTCTCCTTTTGTCTTCCTCCTCTTACACTTATACATGCATACATCTACCAATCATTATTTATTAAACTATTTATCTACACAGAAATGCACACTAACACTTAATGGTGTCTAACCAAGTCACAACAGCTACCTTTCCCTGGGTAAATTCTTCTACACATTCAGACTGTTCCTGCTTTAAATTACCAGCAGCACCCCTATTAAATTATAACCTTTTAAGACATTTGCTTTCAAACAGCAAGGAAGAAGCAACAATGCCTTATCCGGGAGCTTTCTCAACCTTAACTGATTGAATTTTATCACCTAGATTTTTACAGCTGCTTTTCTCCTGATCTGAGATCGTTGACAACTGTTTTTCTCCATATATGTAGTTCCTCTCTTGCTCCTGAAATAGTCACTTTTAGTCATGAGTACATATATTAAAATAGCTTTTCACTTAGTATGTTAGGACTTTGATTATCTATCTTTGGCTCTTGCAGACACCAATTAGTTTGAGCCAAGCATTTTCTTTCCTGTTATGGTTAATGCTTTCTTTGCTACTGGTTACTCCGCTTAAATAATCACCGGAAGAAACCAGTTTGCTCACTTCCACAGTTCTACGAGGAATTAGCTTATGTTCCAATCTAGTAAACAATTTACTGAATCAAGTAAAGGATTTGCAATTATTTTTCCGCATATCCTTCTGTAGTTCCTGAAGAAAAAAATGAGGAAGATATTATTAATTCTCATCATATGAAAAGGAAGGGAATTTTCCCTTATGTACAGAGTCCAGGACGACTTTCTTCTTCCACCAAAATAGGAATCAAAACAGAAAAAATAGGAAATCTCTTTATGAGAGAATCCCAACAAATTAGGAACTAATTTTGGAATAATATCCAATAAAACTAACAAGGAATCCTAACAAATTATATCTCTAAATAAAGCATAAAATATCCTAATTAATATTCCTAATTATCTGTACAATTCTAAACAAGATTCTTTGCAATACTGATTGCTGTCTGACCATCACTTAGCATCCTAACCATGCCATCCACCTCTACATTGAGCTCCTTTAATAATCTCTGAATCCATATGCCTTCACATATTCGCAAAGCCAATGCTCAGTAGTCTGATTCTGCACTGCTTCGAGATACTACAACCTGCTTTTTGTTTCTCCATGTTACTAGATTGCCCCCAAACATATGAACAATAGTGTTACTAGATTGCACCAAACATATGAACAATAGCCAGTTGTAGATCTTCTGTCGGTCAACTCTCCCGCCCAACTAGCATCCGTGTAAACCTCTAGCTTTCGGTTTGTGGATTTCCTGAAGATTAACCCGTGTCCAGGAGTCATTTTTAGGTACCTCAGAACTTTATTCACTGCTTCCAAATGATCTTCATTAAGGCTGTTCATATGTGGACTTATGATGCTGACCGAATAGGCAATATCTGGTCTTATATGGGACAGATAAATTAACTTATCTACAAGCCTTTGGTACATTCCCTTGTCAACTGGAATTATTTCTCCACTTTTATTTGCTCTGAGATTGGAATCCATTGGTGTATCGGCTGGCTTACACCCAAGCATGCCAGTTTCCTTCAACAGGTGCAGAATGTATTTTCTCTGAGATATGACTATTCCTTTCTTGGATCTAGCAACTTCCATCCCAAGAAAGTATTTGAGGTTTCCCAGATCCTTAATCTCAAATTGTTTTGCAAGCATCTTTTTGAGACTAAGAATTTCTTCACCATCATCTCCTGTTATAATGATGTCATCTACATATACTATCAGAATAGCAATGTTACCCTTTGTCGAGAGTTTTACAAACAATGTGTGATCAAATTGGCACTGACAGTAGCCATTTTCCTTCACAGCCTTAGTAAACCTATCGAACCATGCACGAGCTGACTGCTTTAGGCCGTATAAGGACCTTTTTAATTTGCAAACCAACTTGTTGTTTGAAGCATTTTCCATTCCAGGAGGAATCTGCATGTAAACTTCCTCTTCAAGGTCCCCATTCAAGAAAGCGTTCTTGACATCTAGTTGATACAATGACCAATCCAGATTCACCGCTAGGGATAAAAGCACTCTCACCGTGTTTAACTTAGCAACAAGAGCAAACGTCTCTTGGTAATCAATACCATAAGACTGAGTGAACCCCTTTGCCACAAGTCTACCTTTAAGCCTTTCCACACTACCATCTGCTTGATATTTCACTATGAAAATCCATTTGCATCCAACCAAACTTTTCCCTTTTGGTAGTTCAGTAAATGTCCAAGTACCATTACTTTCCAATGCTCGAATTTCTTCCTCTACAGCATGTTTCTAGGACGGAACTTTGAGAGCCTCTTGAATTGACTGAGGAATTTGCACACTGTCAAGCTGAGAAATAAAGGCTTTGTAGGATGGCAATAAGTTTTCGTAGGCCACATACTTCTTAATTGGGTGAGTGGTGCATTTCCTGACACCCTTTCTTTGAGCAATGGGCAAAGAAGAATCATCAATTATAGGTACAAGTAAATTCATACCTTCATGACCTGAGGTAGGTGGATTAGGATCAGGTACTTGGCAGTCTTGTGGTTGCATGTTGGCCTCTATTTGCTTAGCAGGTCGCCTTCTTCTTGAGTAGACAATGACATCAGAATTTTGATGCTGGAATGTTTGAGAGTTATGAATGACTTCAGTACTAGTGAAGTCAGGAGTGGGCTAAAGAGTAGGTTCATTTGACACTGGAGTTGGAATGAGTGCAGAATCAGATAGAGGAGGTACGGATTTGTTAAGGAAAATAGGAAAAACAGCTTGAGTATCTTGAAGAGTGTCCCAAATCTGAAATTCCCTAGAAGTCTCCCCCTGAATTTGGGATTTGGGAAAGTAAGGCTGATCTTCAAAAAATGTGACATCCGTAGAGTAATAAACCTTTTGAGTGAGAGGGGAATAACATTTTTAGCCTTTGTGGTTGGAGGAATAACCAAGAAACACACATTTGAGTGATTTAGGATCAAGTTTAGAACGATTAGCCTTTGTGGTTGGAGGAATAACCAAGAAACACACATTTGAGTGATTTAGGATCAAGTTTAGAACGATTGTGTTGATGAATATGGACAAAAGAGGAGAAACACACATTTGAGTGATTTAGGATCAAGTTTAGAACGATTGTGTTGATGAATATGGACAAAAGAGGTACAACCAAATACCTTTATAGGAAGGTCAGATGAGAAATACCTGAGATGAGGATGTATGCCTAGCAGAGTTTGGTGAGGGGACTTGAAGGCAAGTACACGGCTAGGCATCATGTTTATAAGATATGTGGCAGTGAGAATAGCTTCCCCCCAAAAATGTTTAGGAACATGATTAGAAAACATGAGAGACCGAGCTACTTCTAGTAAGTGTCTATTTTTCTACTCAGCGATGCCATTTTGTTGAGGAGTATCAACACAAGAACTAATATGAACGATTCCATGTTTGGATAGATATGCACCAAGAGTAGAGTTGAAATAATCCCTAGCATTATCAGTTTTAAGAACTTGAATTTTTCTTTGGAATTGGGTTGAGGTCATAGAATGAAAGGTTTGAAAAATTGTTGATGTCTTAGATTTTTCTTTCATCAGAAATGTCCAAGTAGTTCTTGTATGTTCGTCAATAAAAGAAATGAACCATCTAATACCATTGATGTTTTTAACACGTGAAGGCCCTCATATATCACTATGAATGACTGCAAAAGGGTGAGACGGTTTATATTGTAGGCTAGAGTACACGTCTAGTATGTTTGGAAAGTTGGCAAATTTCACATTGATAAGAATTGAACCTTTTATTGATAAATAGATGTGGAAACATCTTTTCAAGGTACATAAAGTTTGGATGACCAAGGCGAAAATGTCATAACATAACTTGACACTCAGCAGAATTAGAAGCAATTGAATTAAGAAAAACAGAATTGGAAACAAGACCAACTGAATTGACACTGGACTTTGAAATATAACATGAAGAAGAAGCTTGATCTCCTTGAAGCAAATATAGACCTCCACGCTCCTTAGCACTGCCAATCACCTTCCCCGAATCCTCCACCTGAAATTCACAAAGATTAGAATAAAACTTAGTTATACACTTCTAATCTCGTGTAAGTTTGCTAATGGAAAGCAAATTACAGCCTAAGTTTGGAACATAAAGCACATCAGAAAGATAGAGATTTGGGGTCAATTGTATTGACCCAGTTCCTGCCACTGCTGAGAATGTTCCATTAGCTATGCGGACTGCAGAGTGATTTGCACACGGTTTGTAGCTTAGGAAGGCAGTGAGGTCACTAGTCATGTGGTCTAAAGCGCCTGAGTCAACAATCCATGATTTGGATTTCCTGTTTTGCACAACATAAGTAGTGTGAGGAATACCTTGATGGGCTAACAAACTAGTGGGAGGATCAGCAGAAGGTGCCTGAGATAATTGAGATGTGGTGGAGATATGCCTAAGGAGCTGCTGTAAAGCATCAATCTATGTCTTAGTAAAGGGACAAGAACTGACATTGTTCTCTGAAGTAGTTGCTTCACGTGCCTAAATACTATGTTCATTCTTGCGGGCTGATTTCCAATCCGCTGGTTTGCCATGCAATTTCCAACATGTGTCCTTCACATGTCCTATCCTTTTGCAATAGTCACTCCAAGGACGACCACTTTTCCTGAACTTATTATCGTGGGTGGAGTTGTGGGTATACATGGCTGATCCTTCGGTGTTGAGTGAGGGTTGATTATCAGCCATCATTAATTTCTTTCGGCTCTCTTCCCTCCTGACTTCAGCAAAGGCCTCACGGATGGTAGGTAGGGGTTTTATCCCCATTATTCTCCCTCTTACTTCGTCCAGATCTTGGTTGAGGCCTAAGAGAAACCTAAAAGTTTTCTTTTGCTCAATGATTTTCTTATAAAGGGCTGAATCATCTGAGCACTTCCAGGAGTAAGCCTCATACATGTCGAGTTGCAGCCAATAGCGTGTAAGCAGATTAAAGTATTGAGTTACACTGGAATCTCCTTGACGTAGATCATATAACCAAGTCTCGATGTCAAATAATACCGAGTAATTCTCAGTACTAGAATAGGTTTCACGAGCAGCCTCCCATATATCCTTTGTTGTTTTGTAAAGCAAAAAATTTTCACCAACTTCTGTTGTCATCGAGGTGATCGGCCATGACATAACTAAATGATCATTAGTTCTCCAGGCTCTATAATTCGGATCTGTGGCTTCCGGGGCAACAACTTCACCGGTGAGATGTCCATCTTTGCCTCTACCACATATGAACATAAACACGGATTGGGACCACTGAAAGAAATTATGACCCTGCAGTTTGTGGTTGGTGATGGGTTGAGAAGAGGACTCTGGAATAACTGGAACAGAACCAGGAGTGATAGAATCTGATCTAGAGGTGACATCCGATGAAGTGGAATTAGATGCCATGCCGTATTTTGTCATGAAGAGATCATCACAGGAAAGATATTCTAGGGTTTAGAGAATTGCTTTGATACCATGAAGAAAAAATTGAGGAAGATATTATTAATTCTCATCATATGAACTTTCTTCTTCCACCAAAATAGGAATCAAAACAGAAAAAATAGGAAATCTCTTTATGAGAGAATCCCAAAACAGAAAAAATAGGAAATCTCTTTATGAGAGAATCCCAACAAATTAGGAACTAATTTTGGAATAATATCCAATAAAACTAACAAGGCTCTCTTTATGAGAGAATCCCAACAAATTAGGAACTAATTTTGGAATAATATCCAATAAAACTAACAAGGCATCCTAACAAATTATATCTCTTAATAAAGCATAAAACATCCTAATTAATATTCCTAATTATCTGTACAATTCTACTGTTCCTTCCTCTGTTTTTAAGTAGTCATATATAGTCTTGAGTATAATATATTAAATAATTATAATTACTTAGTAGTATGGCAGTTTTATTTTCTAGCTGCAGCCCTCATATATAGAGCCTTTAGGTTGAGTCAAACCACTGCTAGTATTTTATTCTTGATTTTTTTCATTGTATTGAGTCCTACTTTTGCACTTTTTGCTATTGCCTACTTTGCATATAAGGAATTATGGAAGATTCAATTTGCCCGCTCCATCAGGAGCTCATTCTTGTGTCCATTCACTTTAAGGTAGCCAAGCTTAAACAACATGAGCTTATTATTATTTTTTTGTTCCTTCTTTTTTTTTTCCTTTCCAAGGATTAAGGAGGGATTAATCTTAATCTAAGCAGAATTATAAGGCGCAATTATTCAATCTAGGGGGTCTTTGACATGGAACCGGAGCAACCCATTTTCAAAATTTACCGGTGACAACTAATGTGGATTTAAAAAAAAATATCACCCCAGGAAGTCAGGGTTTCGGCCCAACAAAAGGCCCTCAACCTGTAGACCTGTAAGGATATGTTAGAGTTTAAAATTGTAACCTTGAATCCTTATCACAACTTCAGAGTTTTGGTGAGGGGATGTTTGGTAATTGTAATTAATGGAGAAAGGACTAGATGTAGGCCTAAGAGAACTTCTTCAAAAGCTCATAAGAAGGATAATGGTAATAATTAACTTTGTGGAGATAGCCTTCAATAAAACTGAGGGGAATTATAGGATTCATAAACCCTTACCCAAAAATTTGGGATAAAGACAATTGCTATTGTTGGTCTTGGAGAGATCTCTGGCACTTCTTTGGTATATACTTGATACACTGTAAAGTATATGACATATCAAAATAAGTAACCAACTAACAAGTATTATAATATCTGAGAGTTGAAGTATTGAGTATTATCTGATAACAATCCTCTGTTGAACTATTCATGCAATCAAGCTTAATCACCATGTGTTATATTACGGTGATAACCCTTATAAGGAGTTTGCAATTGATTGGTTTGCCCCATATGTTTTCTCATGACCTTCCCGTTCCTTATCCGTGCTCCTTTTTTGATATCATGAATCTACATTTCTACATGAGCTTCAGGTAAGATTACAAAGTTCCAAATCAGTCCTTACAAAGTAAATCAAAGCGCTATATAGGGGGAAAAAATTAAGAAAATGTTACTTTTGCATGTGCATACTGTACAGTTACTGTGTTTTTTTCCTGTTAATATATCCATCTTCCTGTCCCTCTTTTGCATATATGTCTTATAGGTTGCACCAGTTGATCTTGTACTTCTATTCTTTATATTTTGTATCTCCATTTTGACAAACTTTTTGCATGAATCGGTTGAATGTATGAATATTTGAAGCGTATAATTTACATAATCAAAGTTTTTCAGTTTCTGCAGAAACCAAGAGAGTATTTGACTATCTCTGCAAATGTCGTTGCCTTCTTATTTATCATTTATCATGACTTTAGACCAATTTTCACTATTATTTACTGCCAACGTTTAGATGGTGGGAAGGGATTGTCACTGAAAAGAGCCAAGTAGACGAAACAAAGCTTACGGTGTACTTTCCAGGTTTGTTTGTTCATCTACTGTTTAAGTTGATGTATTCCATGTTTCGTTTGTTGCATTAGGTCCCGAACTTAATATTTCTAATCATATGTTCCCCCCCTTATATTAGTGTTTTTTTCCTTCTATTAGTGTTAAATCATACTGCATAAGACTTCTACCATCAAAATGGGGTTAACAATATAAAAGTTGAGAAAATTCCAGTAAAGATTTGACCATCTTCTACAACTGGAACTGGTATAAAAACTCTGTGATTTGATCGAAAATTGTGTATGCTTCCAGTTACATTTCCAAGATACTGAGAAAGATGGGAAAAATGTACAAGTGTCATCATTCTGATTTCTAATTGCAACAATAGTTGAGAGGAGCTTATATTAGTGAAAAAGTTTGAAGAATATTGGGGTTTCTATTATTGAATGCCAGAAATTTCTGCGAGGAAGAATGCATAGGACGCATCTTCATGAAGGCATTTCTGGAGTTTTTCTATAATGTCTCATCTTTTATTCATTTTAAATTTCTCAAATTCAGTTGTGATAAACTAGAGTTGAAAATCCTGCCATTACATAAGCATTATTTTGGTGCAATAATTGGTGAGGTTGGAAATGTTTTTGCTTTAAATTTATGGTTCTCTTCTCATCAGGCCCTACATGTGAATCATGTGATGTGATGCTAAAATAGTAGTCTGTGAACTATAGAATAAGAGTAAAGATTCCATGCAGGAGTATAGGATAAGCCTTCGTACTTAAATACTTTTAGTATAGAGTAGTTACTAGGAATATATAAGAGGTACTGGAGCTAGTAGGTGCAATAATCAGTAGAAAATTCCATATCGATTTTCACAAGAAACAAAAGATTGGTCAGACATGCTAAAAGGATAAAATACATTATATAAATTATGGTATATAGGAAAGAAGAAACACAAAAATGATGCTTGTAGATGAAATCTCACAGTGGATCATCTTAAGGTAAAATGAATAAGGAATAAATAAATAAAGCTGGAAGTCAGAGATGAAGCAAATAAGATCAATATTTTTATGCTCATCCACCTCTAAAATAATATATATGAGAATATTTCATATAAGAAAACATGTCGAAGATACCTTGAAGTCATGGAAAATAGTAAACAATGAAATAAAATTCTGTATTGCACAATGTCATATGACCTTCATATTATGGTAAGAGTATATGCCAATATATTTGACTGGATCTAATAATAATCTTTTTTCAGTAGGTTTTCCCTCACCAGTTGACATGTAGCTAGCAATTTCTATGGCCAAGACATGTTGGTTCTGGCAATTTCAAAAACCCTGACAGTCCAGTTTACTGTAGGTTCATAAACTAAAATGGAAAAAAGGTTCTATTTGGATTCGTGGAAGGTGCCTCTTTAAGGAGATTATGTGGAAGGTTTTGAAAGGAATGTATAAAAGTTATATCAATGCGATTATGAATATATGTACATGGTATAGAGTGCAAGCAATCCAATGGGAGAGAAAATCCATTTTGTTTCTTTGTAGCTTATATTAATGCCTGCCATTAATAACCTATTTACACTAATTATGATTGAGCTTTAACTTAAAGCCACTGTGGATGGGCTTCAATGCTTTGGTGTGATGTCACTAAATTATTTTATCGTACGAGAGTTTGTGAATGAAATAATTTTTAATGATCGGCTGTGAAAGAAGTTTTAAAATCTACATGATAAAGGATGCAAAATCAGTAAGTAGAGATGAAGGAATAGCCTACCTTGGTGGCCAAGGAAAATACATAAGGGTAATTTTTTTAAGCTTGGGATCAACCTGCAGTGAGATTGAGAAGGATGTTGTTCATAAAGTTGAAGCATGATGATCAAATTGGAGAAGCGCTTCCATGAATATGTGGGGAATACATGAACCCTTAGATGGCTGCACGTCCTCTTATTCCTTATAGTTCACGGTGTTGAGGATAAGGCAAAGTAGTAGGAGTTATAGGATTATAAAATAAGTATATCCCTAAAAAGCTAGGAGTAGCTTTTACTGGGGATAAGACAGATTTGTTTTAGATGGTCGGATGTTCATTGAAGACACATGGGGTGCTGGTTAGAATTGATATTATCCTACTTTTCAGAATTGCTAACGTTGAGGTAACCTACATAACTAAGTTTTAGGCAGTGGAAAGTATGTAGCTGTTTTTAAGTTGATGGAGTGGGAGACTCTTGAAAGAGTTGGATGATGATAATTCATGCACCTGAATTCAAAATTTTGGGGGACAGTTTTCTTGTACGAAGCGGTAGTTTGGCTTTTCTTGAGTACAGGATTACTACGAGGGTTGAAGTATGTCAGGCAGGCATTAGATACTACATGAAAAGTTTCTGTAACAGCATTATTGCATCCACACGCACAGCAAGTCCAGATCTATCATGAACATACCCTAGTATACTGATCACCTTTCTTGTGTGGATATTTATTCGAAAGAGGAAATTATAAGGAAGCTTTCACTGTAATGAGTTAGGTTTGCTTGCATTATTATCCTTTTAATGTTCCTTACGAATTATTATCTTGTTACCATTCATTCTTGCATATTAAAGGCTCTAGAACACGGTTTCATTATGTGTACAATCTGGTATTGGATAGCGATTAATCGGATTATTTGAAATTTTGTGTTTTTTAAATTATTAATATGTATATTATTTATCATCTATAAAATAATTAATGGAAAATATATAACATTCAGAGTAAAAGACACACCAAGCTATTCGAATCAAAGTCGTTATACGCTTAAAAGTAGAACCACTGAAAGTTCACAAACCAAAAACTATCCCGTAAATCGTAACACATTAAAATACTAATAAAACTCTTCATCTAGTATTCCTCATCATCCTCGTAGCGATCGGTGGCGGAAACGGCAGTAGGAGACAGTGGTGGTTGGAGTCTAGACTTGGCGACAGTTGGAGTTAATGATCGGCGCCAACTAGCGGCTGTGGAGAGTAGGCTGCATGCGATGACTAGGTTTAGTGTTTTGAAGTAGCGTATTTTTTTTAGAATCTTTTGACACAGTGATCAGGAGACTGAAGGGTAATGCGGTCCGAGTCAATTATATTGTGCACCCACATAATTTTATTATGCGGCACATACTCTTTAAACATTCAATTATGCGGTCTGACCGTAGGATTGAGCGGATTTCAGCTACTCAACACGGTTTGGTGTCAGATAGGAGTACTCGGGCGGGTAGAGTGTGTTTTTGAACACTGTATATTAATGAAAAAACATTATCATGAATCTCTGCTTTCTTCTGTGGTTAACTATCAAGGGAAAATTTTTTAGTATTGGTGTAACTGTTACTTTTCCAAATTTGCAGTACCAGTTTAGTTATTATCTTTATAAAATCTACAAGCCTCGCATATAGTTCTTAACTAATGAGATCTCTATAACTCGTCTCAACTCTATTGTTCACTCTGTACAATGGGGTTTGATTATATGTGTTTATTCATATAGCGGGGGGTGATTCTTCACTTGTTCGAGCATGGGATCTTCGGCCATCACTTACCTGGAAGGATGGTCAATGGATAGAGTGGTCTCGTGCAAAAGAAGATATGCTTCGCCCCTATGAGGTTTTCATTTTCATCTTGCATTTCTGATCTCTCTCTGATTTTTAATATGAGGACTGCAGTTTCATTAGTTTCTTTTGGTTTATTTGTGTCTGGCAAACAATTATCAGGGTGATACTCCCCAAGAGAAACGACGAAAGTTGGTCGGACTGGGACCCAAGGCTGACACAGAACTCTATGGCAGTGGTATAGATAAGCAATCCAGTAGAATGCCTCTGGAGACTTCAGGGAAAGCAGTGGAGTCAGGACCACTTAATTTATCTGCAAAGGATGCAATATTTTCTGTGGGAAAGAATGTGAGTGAGGCAAATATTTCTGATGCACCGAAAATGAAGCATTCTGGCCTGCAGAAAGAAGGATCCAGGGTTGTGATTGGTGTTCCTAAACCTGGCAAGAAAAGGAAATTTATGGAAGTAAGCAAACATTATATGTCTGATAAGACCGTCAAGACGAGTCAAGGGAATGATTCCCTTAAGTTTGCTAAATATTTAATGCCTCAAGCATCCCGCCCGTGGAGAAATACTTCTAAGGTGGATTCGAAAGGAAACCAGGCTGGAAACTCCAAGTCTCTAGGGGTTAGATCTGTAAAATCTCAAGCTACTCAAACTAGGAGTACAATTGAAAAGGAGTATCCTTCACTTACCACTGTATCTGCTTCAAATAGTGAAAAAAATAGTCACGGTTCTTTGTCAAATACAAGAGCTGGTTTTAGCAAAGAAAATGTTATAGAAAAGAATTCCATAGAAGCTGTCAGCCTTCCAACTACAGAGAGCTTGGTTTCAGTGTCCTCTGTTCAGTCTAGGCCTACTATTCCTGCGTCCAGGAAGAAGTCTTCTTCGGCTGTTGAAGCAGGGCGAGGGGTGAAAGGAAGGGTTACTCCCTCTTTAGATAAGTCTACCAGAATTGAAAAGAAGCCCTCAGAAACTCATGAAAAAGCAATCCCGGGTGCCATTGAACCACGGAGATCTAATCGTAAAATTCAACCAACTTCAAGGGTAAGCTCTAATAACTTGTCTAAGGATGGTCGGTCTTCTTTCTTTTTCGTTTACTGTCCTTTAGAACAGAAATCTTGAGTTGTTGGTTGCCCTTCTCTTAGTCAACAGTGGAAATTAATTTTATGTACCTCGTACCCTTACACTTAGCCTGATTGGTCCCTTGTAGGTACAAATTCTGGATTTTCAATTAAGAACTTGAAAGAAATATTGTGCTTTTCCACATTTATATTTCACATTTTAGTTGTACTCGTAATTTAACATTTTCCTGACTGGAAATCATTTTAAGAAATATGTGATTTCAAATCGAGGATATTCGCATAGAGGTCAAAATTAAAGTGTAACATTAGTAGCATGAGTTGAGATTTTGAATACACCCTCTGAACAATTTGGATTTCATGGAATCAAACTACAAGAAAGGTGGCATGAATCAGGTCCTTGATTATTAACAGTTTTTTAAAGCACTTTTCTATGATTATTTAAGCAATTTTTTTAAAGTCTTGCAGTGTGTCGTGTGATATAGGTAACATCACCCTACATAGTTTTTTCTTTTTTCTTTGCCCCCATATTGCCACGAATTTTGCATGGTCATTTACGTCAACTATAATACTGATGCATATGGAAAAGAGCATACCTGAAAAGTCCCAGCCCAAGCATGGTATATTCATTTGACTAAATCTTGGTAACAATCTTTTTTTCCTATTTCTTTATTTTCTGTATATGAGAATATGACAAATCCAAGTCCTCCGCTGTAATAATTTATTATTCTGCTTTAGCTCACTCCAATAACCAGCCTTAAGTACCCCTTGACTGATGATTGCAGCTATTAGAAGGATTGCAAAGTTCCTTGCTCATTTCAAAAATTCCCACTTTTTCACATGACAAGGGTTCTAAGGCCCTGCATAGAAGTTCATCTTCAAGGGGTAAGTGTTCTTTTTCATGAACTATGCCTTGGCACATACTTTTAGTAATTTGTGGGATTAATTTTGTGTTTGGAATAGGGCCTACTCGTGGTTGATTGGAGCTCACCTATCCTGATGCAGCTTAATCTTATGGAGTTCTGTATAACAGAGTACAAGATTCATCAAACTAGGATTTTGTATATAAAATACAGTTTTAGGCTTTTTACGGCTTGAAACTTAGAAGCTTGATCTCTTATTGTGAGTTGTAAGATGTTCGGTTTCTAATAATCTTATATTCTTGATTTCTATTTCTTCTGCTTTAACTCTGTAAGACGGAACTTAAAAGATTGATCTCTTATCGTCAGCTGTCAGATGGTCTTCTGCTTCTCCGGCTTAATTCTGTTCTTTGATGTATTGTGTTTCCTATCTTTGTACCTAACAGTATAAGTCAGGGAAAGGAGAGCACAATTTTTATATGACTCGTCAATATTGCTGAAAGCTCCAGCAAACTAAAAGGCGTGTAATGTGGTGTATATTTTTTAACCTTTTGTGCTCTCGCTTCTTATTTACTATCACGAGGCAGGACTAACCGCTTGTTAATTCCTCTCCTGTCTTTCATCATGCTTCAGGATTTGCCAAATTCTTCTACCGATAAATTTGTAGAACTTAGCGTGAGCAGGCTGCGTTCGTGGAATACCACCAGCGTTACTGGAACCCTGTTGCTGGTGCCAACTGCAAACTAATATTTTGTATTTGAGAAGTGTGAGCACGTTGATAGGAAAAATTTGTACTGTTGTGTAATTTGATATCTTAGGCTGGCTGCCTTCCTCGATTGTTTATTGCTATCGCCATTGCTTGTCTTGATGGCAGCGTTTGAGTAGCAGGTCACATGTTGCCTGTTTAATGAATTTAGCAGTCAGCTTATAAAGAACATGTGATGATCAAGGGCCAGTTTGATATTGTTTTGTCTTTAAAGGTGCTTCTGTTTATTTTTAGTAGTCAATAATGGTGTTTGGTATTGTCCTTTTAGTTATGATGTTTGGTAAAGACTTTTAAGAGGGTGTTTTTAGAAACAATTTGAGGATGTTTTAAAAAGTAGCTTTTTACTTCTTTTTTTTTTGGTTTATTTGTCATATATGTGTATTTTATATTTTAACAATGATCATTAAGTACAATTTAACCAAACATCATAACTGCTTTGTTACTAGTTTTAAATATTTGATTACCAAACAACTATTTTTAGCAATTTATATAAATTATTTTTATAAGCAATTTATTATAAGCTTTAGCAATACTATTCTTGCCCTAAAACATAAAATGAAGTTGGTTTGTCCATCTTGTTGCAGTTGGAGTCAAGTTGTATGCATGATGCTATTGCTGATTCTGGGCGTCACAGTGTTGACTCATTTCGACAACAACTTTGATTGCAGATATTTGCCACTATCATCATCATTGGCATTCTACATTTATTTTATTACAGTTTTTTTGGGGGCGAAGTAGGTATATTTACTTGGGCCATTGAGAGTGAACAAGGCCTGTGAAGGGGAAAGGACAAGGAAGAAAGTTCCCTAGGGAACGAACTAAATGTGGATAAATAAGCTCTTGATGATCGTCCTAATAGCAATTTTAATGATTTGGAGGGGTACGACTTAAAATAAGAAATATGTGAGGGACTAATACGAATAACCCCTTCATATTTTCTCACCCTTCTTTGCGAGAAAACCCGCCATCTCAGTCTGTGAGATTCAAAGCAACGGAGCGACGGCCAGTTCTGGTCACCTATGTTTTAATTACTTAATAAATTTATTAGATTATTATTTGTGTTTAGAATCCGAATTACTTGATTATGGTTTAGTTTGTGGTATGTTAGTTCTTTTCTTGGGGGTTTTAGCTTGGAATCTGAATTGCTTCATGAGGCTGAAAAACGCATCAATCCATCAAATTAAATCTATAAATTTTAAGTGTGTAATTAGCCAGTAATGCACAAATTATTTTAGTAGTCAATTAAGGAAATTTATAAAAAAAAATGGTTTTTATTTCTTTGAGGCGCGGGATTAGTTTCGGTTTGGGCAGTTCTCACGTGAAGAAACCCGTGAGAATTTTGGTCACCGGTGCTGCAGGCAATATTGTTTAATTTTTCCTCTATTATTTTCTAGTGCTTGTTGTAGTTTATTTTTAGGGTTAGCGTATATTTTAATGACACTAATAATTATCTTTCGAAATGATAATGCAATTGGGAATACATTGAAAAGCTAGTACCAACATTTTTCTATTATTTGCAAGCATACTTACAATCGTGTTAACTTAATAGAGGAGATAACCCTAACATAACTAAATGAAGAATAACGTGTAGCTGACTCCAAAAATTTAGATAGAGAGACGTTGTTGTACTTTACAGGACAAATAGGCTATGCCCTTGTTCCGATGATCGCGAGGGGGGAGATGTTAGGTCCCGAACAACCCGTAATTCTCCACATGCTCGATATTCCACCTGCCGAGGTGCTGAATGGTGTGAAGATGGAGTTGGTTGATGCTGCATTTCCTCTTCTTAGAGGTACTTTCTTTTCCCCCCCTCAAAAAGTATTTTGGGTCAATTGTGGATAGACCTCCACTAGTTCTATTGCTGCAAATAGATCCGCTGAGTGAATTTCTCTTCACTAAGTGGGTCCATCTGCAACAATAGAACTACATGGGGCCTACCGCATTCGACCCTAGTACTTTTGCTCATAATGGCAGCGTGCATGTGCTCCTAGTTAATTTTGTGCTCCCTGTGGCATCCATAGGTATCTTAGCTACAACAGATGTTGTTGAAGCTTGTGATGGTGTAAACATAGCCGTTATGGTTGGTGGATTTCCAAGAAGGAATGGAATTGACAGGGACACGATGTCGAAAAATGTTTCTATGTACAAAGCTCAAGCTTCAGCTTTAGAAAAGCATGCAGCTCCCAATTGCAAGGTACCATATTTTCCAAGGAATTAAACAAGAAGTAAAGTATAATTAGCATCCAGTGGTAGTCTTGTTTTTGTTTTGAAATTAACCATGTTGGTCGGGTAACCTTGTTCCTGTACACTGATGTACCCTTAAGTTTTTAAAATTTGCACGTTAATACCCTCCGTTATGCAGACCTGAGAACTATTCTCTAGGATATTCTCATATGATAATTTTTAGAAATTTGTTTTACTTTTAAAATGTTCCAATACTATTTCAGAACATTTGCAAAACGGAAGGTACCGAAGTGCAAATTTCAGAAACATATTTGTATACGAGTGGTGCACTAACAAGTGAGGGTATACATGTGCAGAGTAGGGGAAACCATAAGGTATATAGCCTAAATCCATTGCTATGGCTGACATTGGTTCTCAACTTTATAAGGTTCTGGTTGTTGCTAATCCAGCAAACACCAACGCTCTTATTCTAAAAGAATTCGCCCCTTCGATTCCTGAGAAGAACATTACCTGCCTTACAAGACTCGATCACAATAGAGCTCTCGGCCAAATCTCAGAAAGGTTAAATGTTCATGTCAGTGATGTAAAGAACGTCATAATATGGGGAAATCATTTTTCAACTCAGTATCCAGATGTTTATCATGCCAAAGTCGTCACCAGAGGTCGAGATAAACCAGCCAGGGAACTTATTGCCGATGATAAGTGGTAATGTATTAGTAATACTTTCGTGCATTTCCAATCTGCCTATTATGAAAATTTATCATGCACGCTACTATGCGATTGATTATAAAAGCTTTACTTCGAGAAATAGTTTTGAGATTGTTCAAGTTTCTTTTCTTTTCTTTCCTGGTTACTAGCATGTGTGCGCATTTATCTGTTCCATGTTTCCACCTTCACGTTAAACACACGTTCCATCTAGTTTGAAAGCAGAGGGTTTGGTTCGAATGTGTTGGAAATTGAGGTTAAATCTGGATAGTGAGTATCTCTTGACCAAAAAATCCAACAGAATGTCAAAATCTGGATACTGAGTTTATCATGCCAAAATCAGTATCCAGATGTTTATCATCCCCAAATCAGTATCCAGATGTTTATCATGCCAAAATCTGGATACTGAGTTTTGACCAAAAAATCCAACAGAATGTCATGTAATAAACTTAGGTACCGTTTGGCAAAGGGTTAAGTGAGGGGTTAAGGAGACTTAACCCCTTCTTAACCTGCCAAACACAACAAATCTATATAAGGGTTAAAGTGAGTTAACCCTCCATAATTTGCCAAACATAAAAAATATAGAAGAGTTAAGTTAACCCCTCTAGAGGGGTTAAAATGAGTTAACCCCTTAAAATGAGGGGTTTACTAATACTCCTACCCCTCTAGAGGGGTTAAAATGAGTTAACCCCTTAAAATGAGGGGTTTACTAATACTCCTATTTAGATAGAATAAGAGTTATAACCCTTCTAATTATAAAGAAAATAGTCAAAATCATTGTTATTCCCATACACTAAAACTGATCATAAGGGCTAAAATAAAACTTATTTAACGGGTTAATAATTTAATCCTTCGGATTATCAAATGGGCTAAGTACATTAATCCTTCTCTTTAACCCTTCTTCATTAACCCTTTACCAAACGGGGCCTTAAGGATCAATTCCATTCGGGTGCTATCAGGTTTGGCGTAATTATATGGCTGTCTTCTGAGTTTGTGTATCTACACAAGGAATTCAGGATGCTAATATACAATTGAGGTTACTTCCTGCGTTTTTTGCGTAGAGGTTTGCGGTTTTCATCAGAGTGTACATATAAGTACTAATATACAATTTAATACATACAGTACACATGATGACTGCATCATTCCAGGATAACTAAACTCGCCTATTGCTTAGTACTATACCACTGATATTTCCTGGATGCAAATGTTAGATTAGCATTGTAGGATGTTGCTTTCTACTTTTCTTCTTCGCTAAAACTATGCATCTATCAAATTACAAATATTAATGCACCCTTAAGCTGCGGTATTCACTATCGTGTAGGTTGAATAATGAGTTCATCACCACTGTACGGCAACGAGGTGCTGTTATCACCAAAGCACACAAACTGCCGAGTCCGCTGTCGGTAGCAAGTTCTGCCTGCGATCACATACGTGACTGGGCTCTTGGAACTCCTAAGGTTGGCTTTTCTGTTCACATATTTAATTTTGTAAATATGGATGATGTAAGGGGGTATATATACAAAAGAACCCCACACGTATCAACAATAGTTGTGTTTAATATGAATGCATGACAATGTTTTCTACTCTAGGGAACTTGGGTGTCCATGGGAGTGTACGCTGATGGATCTTATGGTATCCCTACTGGCTTAATCTACTCCTTTCCTGTTACTTGCCGGAACGGAGAATGGAAAATTGTGCAGGGTAAGTTTTTTTTTCCTTTTTCCGGAAGATAGTATCGCTTATATATGCATGCATTGATGTTTTTTCTTCTTCTTGAGATTCCTCGCTCGCAATCCGAAGATAGTACTTACAGCGAGGAACTAGCTAGGATGAATACCTCGTAAAAGCTTTTCTATTTTCAGGTCTAGCGATCGACCAGTTTTCGCGAGGGAAAATGGATGCCGCAGCGAAGGAGCTCGTAGAGGAGAAGAGACTCGCATATTCATGCCTCTAACTGACGCTAGCTGGTTCATTCTGCTAAAACAGTACTAATTATATTGGTCATGAAGCGAGGATGCTCCTATAATTTGAAGTACTTCATGGTTTTCGCAACAAAAATAGTTGTTATTTTCGTTGCAACCTACTTGAATCAAAATAAATATTACATGTTATGCATGTGGTGGTTGTTATATCGTTGCAACCTACTACTTAATTATATGGTTTTATTTTTATCTGTGTTTGTTGATGTTTATGGATCCATTTTCCCACCATGGATTCAGTGAACACCCTCACCCCACCCCTCCCAAATCAAAAATTGCGCGTTTTCGTAATAAATGTTAAATCATTTTGAATTATATTTAAGAAAATATTTATTAAAAAATGCTCAATTCGATAATTTTTTGTTGTTGTTTTAGTAAAATACGCAATTTTCTACACATGGTCAGGTTTAAAAAGCTAATGTAATGAGAACATTAGCATATAGCATGTTGATAAGTAAAAACTGAGCCCCAACGTTTTTTTTTTGGGTATTTTGATGAGTTTTAGGATTTTTTTAAGGCATATATTGCATCATATTATAGTTAAATTATGGGAAGTTTCAAATAAATTACAGACTCATGTTATTGTATCTTTGCTTACTAAATAAATAAATTAAAGTTAATTATTAATAGACAAGTCAATACATTTTTCTGAATTCTTACTGCTTTAAATAATTTAAAAATCTTGATTTTCTTATGACATTGTGTTGTGCGCGGCGGAAGCCAAAACCAAACCGATGTGCTTGGAGAGACCAAATCAAACAAACGCCGAAAGAAGGCCAAACAATGCAAAGTAACGGCACAAACTCAAACACAAAGTTTAACGTGGTTCAGCAAGTTGCCTACGTCCACGGGGCAAGAAAGGGATGTGGTTTTTACTAATAGAGAAGAAGAGTACAAACCGAGATTACAAATCACTCAAAGCAATCAACTAATCTCATCAACAAAATTCTTAATCTCTCCAAATAAAACCCTAAACAAATAGCTCAGAAAATACTTCTTTTCTGTGCTCCAAATATCCCCCCAACAATCACCAATCAAAGCCAAAGAAATCCTAAAACCGTGGTTGCTATTTATATCAAACAACAAACCCAATCAGAACAGAAAACCAAGCCCATGCCCAAAACCGCATCGCGGTCGACCGTCGCGCCAATCGCGATCGACCGTGGCCAATCGACAGAGAACAAATAACCACTACAGGGTCTCGAGGTCGACTGTCGCGCCACTCTCGGTCGATTGCAAAAAGTCCAGAGACTTTTCATGTGTTCGTGCACGTTCGCGGTCGACCGCTGCTCCACTCGCGGTCGACCAGCCCGAACTCAAAAGTGTCCTCCGCTATTTCCTAAACTTCGTTGTTTCCTCTTCAATTCTCCACCTCGGTGAAGTTTTCTCAAAACTAAGCAGACACCAACCAAACCAAATGTCTCACTTGCATCCAGTACGAAGTGAAACGAAATCATAATAACGGACTCAATCCACAACAAGTCGAGACCCAAATGAGAATCCGAACACTCTCCAAACGTCGGTATCTACCCATCAAATCGGCTGCATCATAAATAACTGCCTACGTATCCTCTTGTCAAAAGAATCAAGCCTTCACGTAGTTACCCAAATGACCTCCAAAGGCCCTCAATCAAATAGAAAAGTTCTCAACTCTTCACTAACAAATATGCGGCTAATGGCTCTCAAAATGGCCCCAAAGTAAAACAAATCAAACACCTCTACCTGAGGTGAACCAATGGTCGTATCCAAATTATATCCACCAGTTGCATTCGAATCAACCAACTCATCATCTGCACCCAAATCCAAATGATCCCCTAACTGTGTCACCTCAGCTGGAATCTCAAACGATGCAGTATGATCTGGAGTATGTGGAGTAATCTCCACCCAACGTGGAGTAGCATCAACCTCCACTCGCTGCGATGTCCCAACGATCTGATCAACACTCTTCACCTCGCGAGAGTCAAAAGTGACATACCTGCTCAGAACAAAATCAGAATCTCCTAACTGATAACCAAACAAGCCTCTAAATCCCAAACATGCAATCAGATCAAATCTCACATCCTCGATGTGACCAAATGTTAGGCAACCAAACATCCGACGCAATCCAAAATCTGAAGCAGCTCTACCAGATCCAAAATCTCCAAACACAGCAGTCGACAACCTATGAACAAGATGACCCAAATATGTCGAAGCCCGAAAGCCAAATCCAATGCTCGACATCAAATGCCGATCCTCCTCTAGAAAGGAACGACCAATCAAAAATATCATCTCATCTCGTCACCTCCAATGTTTCCTCTCCAATGAAGTGTTTCAAACTGCCGTGAGCTCGGTACAAATGCAGAAATAGGTCCCTCTTGTACCTCCCTCTAAAATCAGAATGAAGTACCTTCATCTTTCTGCCAATACACTTCCTAAAACTGTTGGAGACTACTAGGACTTTATCCAAACGGGATTTGGTTGTAACCCAAACATGCCTAGAATAGTCTTCAGCATAGGAAACCAAACATCCATTACCTCTCAATGATGCCTCCTTGAAAGGCCTCCAAATGCCTAATGAACACCACCTAAAAGACCCCTCAAGCAATGGATAGAAGTGCCAAACTCCACCTCAGTCTTCTCGCTCATACCAATGTGCTCACATGACTTTAATATGCATGTCAAAACACTTCTCAATAATCCATGCACGTTATCAACAATCAAATATCCCATCCTCAAATCCTTCTATCCCGGCTATCTATCTCAAAGCACAAAAAAAAAATGGAGCAAACGAAGAATAGATCCAAACTGATAAATGAGAGATTTTTACCAAAAGATCTCACCTTTATCTCCAAACGAAGCCCTAGCCAAACTTCCAAAGTGATCTACTCCTCCAAATAGCCTAAGAACGAAGAATAGATCCAAACTGATAAAGATAGAATTTTTACCTCCAATTAAAACCCTAACAAGAGTCTCCGAAAGATCTCACCCCACACGACGGTAGACAAGATCATCAATAGTAAAAATCCTACATTTATCACCAACTGAAACCCTAGACGAACTTCCAAAGTGATCTACTCCTCCAATTAACCCAAGTACCAACAAACCAATGCGGAACAAACGAAGAATAGATCCAAAATTAAAAAAGATAGAGTGTTTACCAAAAAGATCTCACTTTTATCACCAAACGAAACCCTAGATAAGCCTCCAAAACGATCTACTCCTCCAAATAGCCCAAGCGTAGCCCTAGCTCTGATACTAATTGTTGTGCACGGCAGAAGCCAAAACCAAACCGATGTGCTTCGAGAGACCAAATCAAACAAACGCCGAAAAAAGGCCAAACAATGTAAAATAACGGCACAAACTCAAACACAAAGTTTAACGTGGTTCGGCAAGTTGCCTACGTCCACGTGGCAAGAAGGGGATGATATTTTCACTAATAGAGAAGAAGAGTACAAACTGAGATTACAAATCACTCAAAGTAATCAACTAATCATACCAACAAAACTCTTAATCTCTCCAAATAAAACCCTAAACAAATAGCTCAAAAAATACCTCTTTTTTGTGCTCAAAATCCCCCCCCCCCCCAACAATCACCAATCAAAGCCAAAGAAACCCTAAAACCATGGTTGCTATTTATATCAAACAACAAACCCAATCAGAACAGGAAACCAAGCCCAGGCCTAAAACCGCATCGCGGTCAACCGTCACGCCAGTCGCGGTCGACCGTGGCCAATCGACAAAGAACAAAAAACTACTACAGGGTCTCGAGGTCGACCGTCGCGTCACTCGCGGTCGACCGCAAAAAGTCCAGAGACTTTTCCTGTGTTCGTGCACGTTCGCGATCGACCGCTGCGCCACTCGCGGTCGACCGGCCCAAACTCAAAATGGTCCTCCGCTATTTCCTGAACTTCGCTGTTTCCTCTTCACGTTGAAGATTGACGGTAGGATTTTTTTTTATTAAGCAAACAACTAGGAAGTATTAGTGATTATTAATACATTGAAAGCTTTCGCTCCAAAATTTTTCTAAAGTTATCCAGATTTCTCTTGAGCAGACATCTGAAATTATCTTGATCTAATATGTTTCATTTTAAATTATTCTAAAATTTAGAAACATGCTTTTGTTAAACACGAGAATTAAACCAATTCAATACAACTGATTTTGGGAGTCATTCTTTTGCTAAAATCACAGGAGTGAAGGAATTTCGAGTCCTCATGTTGTTAAACCTCAAGGGAACTGAGCTAACTAAATTGAACCTCAAGCTGAAAAGAGTTGCGCTGTCAGTATCAGTTTATATACTATGGCAAGAGAGGAATTTCAGGATTTTCTAACAGAGAGCAGTTAGAAGCCCAGACCTTCTCTTCCGTGATATCAAGATAAGTGTATATACAAAGATTTTGAATTCCAACATTCCTCAGCATATGTTACAGTACATAGAAGATTTGTTTTAGGATAGACTGGACTTTATAACCAGTCTGTTTGTTTTGTTTTTTTGATGTGCTCAATCTTTCTCATATTTAGTGGTGAATAAAATTTACATTCATTGACAAAAAAAATTTTTTTGAACGATTACTTTACATAATCTACTAGACTAAATAATATGCAAACTAAGACTACTAAGTACAAGTGATATTCATTGAAGCATTCCCAGTGAGAAAATGAGTAGAGAGTATTGTTCTAACATTTATACATTCAATTTTGGCTATCCAAACTTCCTCGAGAATTTTATTAAGTTTCTCTAGATAAAAACTCCTAAATTCTACATATTTTGCATTCCAGATATTTTCTAACTACATGCATGGTTATTTTTTGTTAAATCTCAGAGGATTGCGCCAAGTAATTTAAACTGTTTTTTTAAAGCTGTCAAGCTTAATGAAACTGTTGGATAGCGGATTCCTAATCTATTTTGATAACACGAGGTTATTAGGATTCCTAATCTATTTTGGTAACATGAGGTTATTAGGATTCCTAATCTATTTTGGTAACATGAGGTTATTAGGATTCCTAATCTATTTTGGTAATAGGTTATTAGGATTCCTAATTTGATTTGGATTTTGGTTTAGAATTCCTAGTATGTTTATGATTTTAGGATTTCTATATATATGAAA